TTTTTTTTACTTATATTGTAGAGTTTTGTTGTGTTTATACTGTGGCTATTATTTGACGTTCAACAACAACAACAAAGAGAAAAAATCCAAAAATGCACACACACACACACACACACACACACACACACACACACACAGTACAGTTCTTTGATTGTGAATTCTGAGCTCTATTAAGTCTCTTTCTACCTTCACATGTGCACAAACACACACAAAACACACACACAGCCATTTCCAGCAGAGACAGAGAAGCGTGAAGCTTGAGTCCTTTGATAACAACACCACTTACTTTAATCAGCAGATAACTGCAGCCAGTTATTTTTCATTTAACTAAAGTCTGTTTTCTCAGATTCATTTTAATTTCCTAGCCTGTGTTTGTTTTTTTCCTCCTTTCTTCCAACTCTCTCTTCTACACAAGCTCTCGTTCTTATAACCTGTGAAAGCGTAATCGAAAAGGAAAGGTGCACACAAAAGCTACAGGCATGAATGCACACATGCATTGTTAATGACGCTTCTGTTACTGCAAAACTTTACTGAGTAAAAGAAACATTTACGTTGCATGTACAAACACACACCTGTCACTAGAGTCTGTGGGGGCTGGAACGCGGCACACAGTACAGCACCGCGATGCTGGAGTCCCCCCTTCCACTCACAGGGCTCAACAGTAGACTGCAAGAAGGAATGCAGGCGGAAAACTGTTAACTTCCTACAGAGGGACAAACACAGAGGGAAGAAAATGGTGTAAAAATGACACATATAAGACTCCAACACAGTTTTAAGATAAGATGCACACTGGACCATCATTATTAATTCTCTTTCTTTAGGCAGCATATGTGTTAATCAGGATACATGTTATATTAAATTATTATTATAATGATCATCAGTATCACTGACAGTTCGGAGCAGCCCTAGCAACAGTACTTGGTAGTTAGTTACACAGTAGTTACAGTACTGTGTAAAAGTATAGAGTCACTGTTGGAGTCAAATTGTTAAATGTTGCCATTATTGTACTTAAATTTGTAAGTCTTGGTTCAAACTGTATGATCAAAGACATTCTCCTGTTTCTATTGCCCTCCCCAGCCTGTTGAATGATGGGGAGGCTGTAGTGTTTTATTATAGGCACATCCTATGTGAAGGTTCTGTTTTCTTGTTTAGTAAACTTCCTGCCTTTATGACCATTTTGGTGAGCAGGAGGTCACACAAACGCACCCCCAAACAAAAACACACACACACTCACACTCACACACACACACACACACACACACACACACACACACACACACACACACACACACACACACACACACACAGTGTTTTAACCTTTTATAGGGGGGTTTACAATGAGTGTTTGTGTAAACTGTGTGTCACAGAAATAAAAGGCTGTAGGGGAAGCTGGTTCTTTGGACTCGCTTGACACCAACGGCAGAGGACTGCTGCCGTCCCTTCCCCTTGCTAGCATGTGAAAACCGGTTGAGCTGTTCGTCTTGCTTTGTTAACGGGGATAAGTCTCTAAACCAGCAGGGCCTGTAGAAGCGCAGACCCAACAGCCACCTCTCATTTTTTTTATATTATGCTGGGAAATAGGTGCAGCAAATACACATGGAAATACAGTAAATAAGGCAAAAAATAATCAAATTTACAAATCTCAGATGTTGAAAGTCTGTATTTGTTATGACAACGTTTATTCTTTAACACAACCTGAACTCTTATAGACAGGTTTCTTGTAGCTTGTAGTCTTCTGGACTAGTTCTCCAGGCTTCTTCAAGGACATTCGAAGGTCTTCTTTGAATGTCGGCTACCTGTTGTTCTGCTCTCTGTCAAGATGAATCCACACTGCTTCAGTGATGTTGAGGTCCAGCTCCAGGAGAGGCCAATCCATGACTGACAGTGTTTCATTGTGTCCCCATTTCCCTTCCTTAAGACGGCTTGTTGACAGCTACCCAGATAGTTTCTGATGAGGCTTCAGTGAACAGTTAATGGATCAACTAAAGGGTCAAATGCATCTCTTTGGGCCTTTGTCAGATTTTTTTTTTTCCTATTTCTTAAAGACATGACTTTCAGATAATATTCATCTGCTGTACATAGTATTTTTAGGCCCTCTAGGCCTTCCTTTTGTCCTCTACTTGTCCAGTTTCTTTAAATTACTTAAGGAAAGAATCTCAGCATGGATTAAATTGGAGGTGAAGGGAGCAGTGCAATGCGGGGCCATGTGTAGATCACAGCATGCTGAGATATGTCATTTTCAGCTAATAGTCCTTTGGGAATCACCTCGTTGGTGCAAAAATCCTATTTTATGCCTGTTGAACTGTGTTATCTTTGGGATTTTCTATAGATTCAACAAAGGAAATTGGAACAAATAATGTGCTTCTACGACAGGCTGCTAACAACAAAGTGCCAAAAGACACCATTTAAAATGTATCCTCTGCTAAGTTGTCTGTTATGTGGTTCATGTATTCGAGATCGGTGCCCTTTTTATGATTGCATGATTCATAGGTCAGTGTTAAGAGGCTTAACCTGGAGACCTACTGCGCACGTTAAAAATGCTACAATAAGGCGTGACTCCTTGGAAGGAAAATATAAAGATATGACGATTGGTCCAAGACTTTTACACAGAACTGTAGCAGGCTTATGTCCCACCCCCACCCCCCAAAGAAAAAAGTTTTATTTTGCTCATTTAAAAAAAGAAATAACTTGAATTTGAGTGCATTAAAGGTAATCATTATAGCATTAGCAGACTCATTTGTTTATTTTCCCAACAAAAATCATATTCATTTAATTTCACTACAAATTTTGAACCTCGCCATCCATGCTGCCCCCATCAAATTGCTTTTTTCCCCCCGTAGTCTGAAGAAACATTGCATTAATCAGCTATTTATTCCATAAATTATACCTCCTCTGCAACACATTCAAACTTTGCTTTACACCTGCAATGCATCAAGGCAGTGTTGGTAATGAACATGGAAGCAGTTCCTTTACACTACAGCGCTACAGGGGATATCATGAATATGCAACACTTTAATACTCATCATCTCAGGAGGACTTTTAGCACACCTGCAATGAGTTCTTCTTCTTTACTCTTTTGTTCTCTCATCACAGAACTTTTGCTTTTTATTGTTGAGCTGCTGCTGCATGTGAAATGAAATAATGATGCACTTTGGTTTCAAACTGAGAAGTATGTCTAGCAGTGGGATGTGGATATTTCAACCCGCGTGAGATCGCTTGAGAAGCCGAAGCTGATAGGACTTTGAATTGGATGCCATGTGACACAGCGCTATATGGATTAAACTGCGGTCTAGGCTGATGCGAAGAAACAGGAAATTATATGAGTAATGAAAGTCATAGCGGCACCATTTTCTTTTACTGCTGCTGATCTGTCGTCTATGTTCTCTTTACCACTGTGACTCCCCAGAGAGCGAGAAAGAGTGTGTCTGCGTGCGTGCGCGCGTCGGGATGTGTGCGCGCATGTGGCGATGAGACGGAAAGACAGAAAGAGAGCGAGTCGTATAACTTGATGATAGCACACTGCTGAGTTCAGCTCACTGGGTGTGAAATGATGATGATGATGAAGAGCAGATGTGATGTGAGTATAAAAAGAATAGACACACACACACACTATCACACAAATATGAGGTAGTGATAGTAAAGCAAATATGAGCGCCCTGGAGCGTTTTGACTTGTTAGGGTCCAGATGTCTGGTTGGCTCTGAGCTTTTGGCAGCCAGACAGAGCAAGAAAGGACAGAAACACACAAACACACACGCAGATGCTTTCACACACAGTCATTTTTACACACAGTTGTTCAGTGTTGTACATTATGGATTTAGTGTTTAAAATGAAACACAAATGAGCAAAACAACAATAATCAAAATAATAACATCTCTTAAATATATACACGACTACCTTTCCCAGCCCATCACCAGTATGCTTCTCTTCAGCAACAACACCTGAGAGAGTCTGACAGCACGACCCAGGCCGGCATTCATTCTGTGAAGGCAGCGGCCGTTAAAGTCCCACACCTGAAAAGAAGCCAAAATAACACTTAAATGCATTTGGACAACACGAAATGTTTTTAAAGTCTTTGGTACACCCTCAACTGCTCATTAATGCAAATATGTAATCACAAGACAGCAAGTCAGTGCATTTAGGCATATAGACGTGGTCAAGACAAGCTGCAGGAGTTCAAACTGAGAATCAGAATGAGGAAGAAAGGGGACTTAAGTGGCTCTGAATGTAGCATTGTTGTTGATGCCAGGTGGGCTGGTCTGAGTATTTCAGAAACTGCAAAACCACCTCTAGGGTTTAAAAAGAATGGTCCCAAAATGAGAAAATATCCAGTGAGTGGCAGCTTTGGGTAGAAATACTTGTTGTAACCACTTGTTACAACCAGTTAGTATATTTCTGAATGCACAACACGCTGAGCCTTGAACCAGATGGGCTACAGCAGCAGAAGATCACACCGGGTGCCACTCCTGACAACTAGGAGTAGGAAACCGAGGCTTCAGTTAACTCGGGCTCACCGAAACAGAAGATTGGATAAACATTGCCCGGAGGGAAGAGTTTCAATTTCTTCTGAAAAATTACGATGGTAGAGTCAGAATTTACCGTAAACAACAGGAAACCATGGCTCCGTCTTGCCTTGTTTTAACTCTTCAGGCTGGGGGTGGTGATGTAATCATGTGGGGATATTTTATTTTTGTACCCCTTAGTACCAGCTGGGCATAATTTAAACACCACAGCCTACCTGAATATTGTTGGTGACCATGTTCAGCCCTTTATGACCACAGTATACCCATCTTCTGATCCTCTGATCCTGCATTCTGATTAATCCAATAGAGCACTTCTGGGATGTGATGGAACAATAGATTCTCATCATGGATGAGCTGTGTGATGCTGTCATGTCCATGGACCAAAATCCCTGAGGACTGTTTTCAGGACCTTGCAGAATCTGTGCCATTGAAGCAGCTCTGAAGGCAAGCCAGTACTGGGAAGCTGCAGCTAACAAAGCGCCCAGTGGGTGTGTTGCTTAAGGAAATTTACTAGAAATGGAATTACAGCTTTATTTTCTTGTCTAAAAAAAGGATTTAAAAAAATAAATAAAACCAATGTGTGTTTTTCTACTTTTGAAAGTGTCATTTTTCCCCCCCCAAGGAGGGATAAGGCAACATGACATTAGGGCTTTAATCCCCCGTCACAGCTCAGGCACCATTTCTTCTTCTGTGTCCAATTTTACACGATGACGTACTTTGCGTCTTTGTTTGTGCAATTTCACAAAGAAACACTGATTGGCTCAATGGGGACACTGTAATTAAAAGGTCAAAATTTCACATTTGGAATGGCCCTAACTGCTACACAACGGGTTCATTGTTGATGAAAATTGGAGCGATGATGCATCGTGTTACTAATTGGCCCAGGGGGGGCCCTGCTTCTTCTGCTGAGAATGACTTGTGTGGTTGTTTCAAGCAGCGGTGCAAGTATTTCTGACGCTACTTGCACATGGATGCATTCTCACAAGGTCTCATGGGGTCAGAGAGCTGATGTGGTTGATTATATTGATTGCAAAAATGCATAATTATTTTATTTATTCGCAGAGAACTACTGCAGTAAGCTCAAAGTCATTAAAAACAGTCTCAGAATGCTACATATGGCAAGCTGTTTTCACATTTAATACATACACTGGATGTGTATTGCAGAAATCTGTCATTCAATTCTTCGGAGCCCAAAAAGAACATTTCAGATATCAACAAGGTCGTTGTCTCTCGGAGAAATGGTGTCCATTTAAGTGCACTGCACATTCTCTTTCAGATATTCTTAATTGCATTTTTCAAATCCAAAGTGAACATGGGCTGAATCTGCAGTGGAATTACTACTTGGAAAAACTCCCATTTTGCATATCTAAAATTAATTTCTGATTAGTCACAATTCCGACTGAAGATATATTTAATTCCCCTCAATTCGAGATAACTGCCTTTTCCTCATTATACGTTTTAAATGAGGGGTTAACTAGTCAGAATGAGGTTGTAGATATCTTGAGCTGTAATTCTAACTATTCAAAATGATGTTAATGATATCTCAGAGTTTCCTTTTCTATAGCTGAAATGTAATTATGGATATCTTGAATTAGAGTTTCCATTAGTTGAAATTACATGAGAAATAGCTGTAATTCAGTCAGAAGCTCCTTTGTGTGTGAAGCAGGGGCAGCTTGGGATCCAAACATAATGCCACTGCAAACATCTGGAAACAAATAACTTAGAAAACGAAATCTACTGAACAAAGCTCACAAGTGCTTCAAACTCCTGGATGATAAGCTCTTTTTATTACATGTTCAGTAATGATTAAAACTTATTATTATGTTTGAGATTCTCACAGCTGTTATTTTTGTAGTAAAAACTGGATTGCAAACATATGTGCTAGTCTGATTAGTCTGACTGAAATGATCCCACTACAATTTGGTAAAATATCAACATTAATATTTGTAACATTATTTCCAGACACTGAAACTTAACTAGAGCTTACTAAATGAGGAAATGGCTTGCCAGCTAAAAGATCTTTAAACTACCAACAAAGAAGAAACTGTGCAAGACGGGATTCTGCCCCGAGGAGATCTAGTGACAAACGACAGTGTAAGAAAACCGATTTTTCTCATAAATGAATATTTAGATCTAACGAATCTGTCCTGGGCCATGTTGGCCCAGAATTCTTAGTTTTCATGTAATTTTGTATTTTGTTCTTTATTTAGGCCATGGTTCCTGGGTTGCTCTGTTAAGTTGTTCCTTATTTGATTTCCCCTTGTGACTTTTACCCCCTGTGTGCCCCTCTGTATCTGTGAGCCCTCGTCTCCCCTCCTTGTGTTTCATTCAATGTTTTCCCCAGCCTGTTATGTCTGTGCTCTCTCTCTCCTGTCTGAACCTCTGTGTACTTCCTGTTTTACTTTGACAGTCTCTCGTCAGTATGCGTCATGTTGTGTTCACTCCTGCCCTGTCTCGTTACGATTATCTGTTTCAGCTGTGTTCCCCGTGTGCTCCCACTTCCTTCGTTAACCCTCTGTGTATTTATGTCCGCGTCTCCCTCAGTTCTGCGTTGCGTTCTCCCTCATGACTGTGTGCCCCTCCATGTGTTTCCTCGTGAGTCAGTTCCTTTATGATTTCCCAGTTTAGTTTCATATTATTATTAGAAATGGTTTATTTGAGCTTTGAGCTGAGATTCAGAGGTTTCTGTGGACACTGCTCATGTCAGCACTTATATTTCTAACCTTTTCTTATAACCGATTAAACATGATCTCCTCCCTTTTGCCCCCATTTTTGGTGGTGTAGGTACAAATGATCAGGCATGACATTCTCATAATAAATAAGATACTGCAAATAATTATTTCTGCATTTGTGCGATTGAAGTGAATTGAAAATGTGTATGAAATGACACTGTTTTAAAGATTTGGCCTAAATAATTTTGGAGTGAATGAGTCTAAACATGATGACCTAACTAGTGATACCCTGACACACACACACACACACACACACACACACACACACACACACACACACACACACACACACACACACACACAGCATGTTATGCCAGTTTCAGCTGAAACTATGTTTCAAACGCATATTCCGGGTTTTTAGTTCACACATTTATGAGGCTTCAAGAAGAAAATAAAAGACAGATCTGAATGTTTGAAAATGTTTTGGAAAGATTCTGTAAAGATGAGATGAAAAATACTCAAAGGATAAATTTAATTGGTTTATTATTTAGATAAGTTGAAAAAAGTAAAAGCTAGTAAATGAAGAAAAAAGGTAAAATGAAGTAATAATGAAAAAAGTTAAACAAGTAAATGAAGAAAAAAGGCAGAGGAGAGAAAACCCCAACAATCCCCTCTGAGCAAGCACTTGGCGACAGTGGGGAGGAAAAACTGCCTTTATAACGGGCAGAAACCTCCGGCAGAACCAGGCTCAGGAGGGGACAGTCAACTGCCTGGACTGGTTGGGGGGGTTAACAGAGGTGGAGCAAGACGAGGCTACATCAGGTGAGGAAGCAGTAGCGTCTCTCCTCTGGAACAAGCGGAACCATTTTTTCTTTTTTTTCCCATGCACTTTTCCACGAGCGCTTTTTTTTTCCAGGATGAGATTTCTCAGCTCATCGATGGTTTCTGCGTTTTGTTCTTCAAGTTTCTCACATCTTTTTTCCACCTCTTCTAATGTTGCTTGTTCTTCTTCAAGCTTGTCTTTGAGTTGTTTGGATGTTGCCTCCTGTATCAGCTTGTCCTCGTGCATGTCTGCATTTCTCTGTTGGACCTCTTTGTGCTTGTCTTCTAACTGCTCGTTTCTTTTCTGGATTTCTTGGAGCGTGAGCTGCAGGTCTTCATGTATTTTGTCTTGTTGTTGTTTTTGCGCCTGCAATTGAGTGTTTTCACGCTTCAGGTTATTGAATTCCACCAAAATCCCCTTAATGAGCTCGGAGTTGTTTCTCGCTATCTGATCGATCCTTTTCTGCATCTGTGAGCACCGTTTCTCCAGTTTGTCCTTTTCTTCTTCCACTTTAGTTGCTTTGTCCTCCAGCTGATTACAAAACTCTTGCAGTTTTAGATTTTTAGACTCAAAGTCCTGGACGATGCGTTTTCCTTCTTTCAGTCTTTCTTGTTGTTGCTCTTTCTGTTGAAGAAGGTCTTTATTTTGGCGCAGTGTTTCATCCAGGCTTTCTTTCAGCATTCGGTATTTTTCCTGCATGCTCTTTAGTTCGTGCTGCATGTCTCGTTGCTTTTTGTCCTGCTCTTCCTTCTGTTGGAGGAATTTATTCTTTTCTTCCACAACTTCATGGAGCTGTCTTTGGAGGAGCCGATTTTTTCGGTCCATGTATTGGAGATCCCATTGTATCTTATCACTCATCGTTTTCTTGTCTTGGAGCAGGTTGGTCATTTCTTTTAGTTCTGCACTCTTTTGCCTGTTTTCTTTAATGAGGTGCACAATCTGCTCTCGGGTCTGAGCAAACTTGATTTGAATTTGAATTTTTATGTCCGGCTGACGCTGTTGTCTTTCTTCCAGCTCTTTATTTTGGGCTTCCATTTGTCTACACTTGTCCTCCAGTTGAAGTTTCTCTTCTTCAATTAGTTGCATTTTTTTCTGGAGAAGGTAGTTTTCCTTCCTACTCTCCTCTAAAGCCCTTTGGAAGGATGAGACACCATTTGGGGAAATTGGCCGGCCACGCCAGGAAGGACAGGGGGCGTAATCTTTTTGAATTGGTGGTTTTTTTCTTGGAAACATGTTGGAGTTTCTATATGATGACTTTGAAGAGCTTTCCAAATGTTTCAAAGGAGCTTGCAAAGAAACTGCAGAGAGAACCTTCACAGACATCTTTCCAAATGTTTCTGTGGTGAACGTTTTGTAGGCTGCAAACACAGATGCTGCTAAAACGAACTAAAACTTGCTGTTTCTCACCCCTACTTAAGGAAAAACATCAAAGGACTTAAGATTCTTAAATTTCCCTATGACATCATCACTCCCTAAGCCAATGAGATTGTCACAAGACATTTTGGATTTGTTGTTGTCGTCGTTGTTTTTTGTTTTTGTTTTTTTGGTCCCGTTTGGATCTTTAGCCATCAGAATTGTTGTCTTAAGGCCAAGAAAGATGCCAAGCGGATTTACTTTTCCAAGTGAATCATCATGGCCTTGCTAAGTGATTGTATATGCAGGGAAAAGCACTCCATGTGTCACAATATGTACTGTTGGGCTCAATTTTTTTGGACAATGACACAGTTTAATAAATAAACAAATAAAGCATAAGAAGCGTTGAATTCGTATTTTTATTGCTTTTCATTGTAATTTCATGTATGAGGTCCAATGAGATATCAGTGCAAGTTAGGGACAAAAACCAATGGCTGAAAAATCCATCCATCCATTCGCTTCCGCTTATCCTTTTCAGGGTCGCGGGGGGCGCTGGAGCCTATCCCAGCTGTCACAGGGCGAGAGGCGGGGTACACCCTGGACAGGTTGCCAGTCTGTCGCAGGGCCCAAAAAATCGTTCAGCAAAAACTTTAGGAAGGATTAAATCAACAACATGGTTCATTCTTAAGCGGAAGAATGCTCAGCAACACCAAAAAGGCCTGACAGACCACAGAAGACACATAAAGTGCATGATGACAGAATTATTTCCATGGTTAAATAAAACAATTTCACAGCATTTAACCAAGTTGTGATCTCTCTCAGAGAGGCACGACTGCCTGTCAGCTCTGTTAAGATGTAAGATGTCGGCTGCCAGTGGAACCCAGTCACTAGTGTTTATTGATGTGAGTGTTAACTGTGTGAAGTGTACAGGACTATACTTTCTGCTCAGATTCAGCCAAACACTGTATAACTGATCAGAGTTTCACAGTATAAATGGATAATGACTCATTGCATACCTTGAAAGTCACCCAAGAGTTTCTCAAGACAAAAGAAACAGGATATATCAGTCACCTGATCTAAACCCAGCAATGCAGCTTTTCAGTTACTGAATAAAAACGTGAATGCAGAGAGACCCACAAACAAGCAGCAACTGAAGGTGGACCGGCAGAGCGACTCAAGGGAGCAAACGTAGCATTTGTTCACGTCCACGTTCTAGACATCAGGCAGTCATCGACTGCAAAGGATTTTCATCCAACTCTTAAAAATAATACTTCCAGTTAAAATTACGTTAGATTGTCCCGTTACCTTCGAGCTACTGTTTATGTATTAACAGCATTAACTGTCCTAAATTGGTAAAACAAAATGTTGGTCAAACCCCTTGAATTTCAATCACATCTGGATTTTTTTGATGTAATATTCACTGTGGCGGTGTACAGAGGCAGGATTACACATTATAGCATATCCTGCAAACCCTGAAAAATGTAAATGAGATCAGTAAGATTTGATTCTGTCATGATTAGGCTGTGTGCAGGCAGGATGAGGACCCAAACGCAAGCTCATGGAGGCAGGAATGAACTCAAAACACAGTGTTATTGCTGACGGAAGTTAAGGCGATACAAAATAAAGTATTATTTCATATTAATGAAGATATAAACTTGTAAAAAAAACAAAACTTAATATTGTAAAGTGATAAAATAACAATACAGCAAACAAAAAATATTCTTCCTCACACTGAAAAATATTCAGCATTGCCATAAAGCGCCCACATCAGCTTGACACAGCTAGAGATACAAATGGGAACACTAAATGATATTGCTAAATCTAAATTCTTAGGAATATTGTTTGTCTTACAACATATATCATCTGATAATCACCTCTGATAGTCTCCAACACCTGAGCAAAAACACTATTTGAATTCACAGTGATCCAGTGGGGAATTGGCAAGTACCTTTAGACCCATTAGACACAAACACCAACCATTTTACCATTTTCGGGGGGAAATTTGTGCCAGTTTGTCAAAAAGCTGGTGTTGTCCCTTCAAATCCACGTTTGGCCATTAGCCAACAGTTAATCACACAATAATCTAACACAGTGAGCCGCAGCTGATGTAAATGTAACCATGCTGGTTTGCAGCTGCACACATCTATTTTGTAGTGCCCATATCAGGAGTAAATACAACAATTTCCTAGAAACATTGTCCTAAAAAGCTGCTACTCCACATTAATTCACACTTTAATTTTGCATTTCACTCAGGCTTTAACATTTCCATGAGGACTAGCCGGCAGCTGTACTGTGCATCTTCATATCCGTACAAATCCGTGTGTGTGTGTGTGTGTGTGTGCGTGTGCGTACGCCTGTCCACCTACTTTGACCTCTCCGTCGGCGCCCGCGGTAAACAGTCGGGTCTGCGTAACGTCTAGGGCCATGGTGGAGATCTCAGCATCACCATGGCAACGGTGGAACTGCTTGACCTTTTGTCCTGTGTCAGTCAGCCAGAAGATCACAGAGGAGGCAGAGTCGCTGCTGACTACCTGCAGAGAGTTTGATCCATGTTATGCTACAGCAAAGGCGCTAATGCATTCTTTAATGATGCTCACATAACCAATCCATTCTCCACGCTTATTTTAGCGCTAAGCCACCGCTGAAGAATACATAATGGGAACAAGAGGAGGAAGAAAAACACGAGTGTCGCACAATAGGTGCTCATTTTCACTTGTTTGGTGTCTGCTGCCGCGTCAGTGGGAAACAGCTTGTTAAGAGGAGTGAGAAGAACTGGAGAACTTACCTATTGTACTAATTGTACATGTGGAAACACAAAGAAATAAAACAGCAGGTCACAGAAGACCATGTCACTGGCATACCTGTCTGAACCGACTGTTATACAGCACACAGGTAACAGGACGTTCATGGCTACTGGTCTTCTTCTCCTCCCTCTTGGATTCCAGCAGGAGAAGCAGGCTGTTGAATGAAAGCACAAGGTGCTGGCGCTCCTCATTGAGAAACAGGAAGGGGTGTGTGTCCCCCTGTATGTTTGGAAAGACACCGGCCAGACGGTGTGTGCACAGCTGGCTGGACACATCCCACAGACAGAGCACCTGGAAGGATAATAAGGGCTCTTATGTGTCTGTGCTTAAGGGCAGATATTTTGGTACATATCCACATGTTCCTAAAAAAGAAAAGTGCCACTAAAAGCTATCGCTCCTACAAAAAAAACTTTTATTCAGTGATTACCAAGCAAATACATCGTTGCACCATGAAGAACTGCTCCTCTGGTTGCAGTTTTAGTGGCCATATTGCTTCTAACGGCAATAACATGCCTGTCGCTGCTCCAGAAATTCTTTCAGAGTGAACTGAGGTAAAGCCTTCAGAGTTTCTTGCAGTGGCAGATGGTGTTTGAGCAGAGGCAGATGGAACATAAATCACTTCTAAAATATTCATTCTCTTCAGAAAAGCCAAAGAGAAGGCAAACATGCACGGTGCTACAACAGGGAGAGGAAAGGCAACAGAAGCACCAACATCCTCTTTGCATCAGAAAATAAAACAAGGCTTTAAAAGAAACACCAGCTGACAGTGGCAAGAAAAATGTGAAACAGGCTCGTCCCCAACACCTCGTTCGTCTGCAGTAATTAAAGCAAGGAATAACAATTAATATTACAATTACGGGGCTCTTCATCTCTACATTATCTGCACTAGTAGCGGGTCTGCGCACCCACTGAAGGGCACTCCTACCTTATCTTGGGAGTAGCTGAGGAGTTGTTGCTTGGTCTGCAGGAAGCAGACAGCAATGACGGGGCTTGTGTGTCCACCAAGGGCGCACGCCGGCTCAGAGGTCACGTAAGGATTCCACAGCAAGACGTGATGATCCACACCTGCTGTGGCTACAACCAATCAGAGGCACCATTCAGACCTGGAAGTAACAGGCTTCTTTGTGATCCTAACACAAGCAGACAGCTCCAGGCATGTTAGTTCACACCTGGCATAAGAATGCATGTCCAGTGTCTTCCGGTGACTTTTCCTCTCTATATGGAGATAATCATTTACATGACTTCTGTTTGCAAATGAAGATCAAATGCCCGCACGGGTCCCCTCCAAGTCAAATCCACCCCACCATGAGCCCACCTGTGATTAAACAAACAGGTTTACTCACTATTTATTTATTTACATGCACAGTTGGCCAACAGCCTTATGCAAAAATCTGTCAGATCTCAGTGCATTCCGACTTGGAGATAACTGCATGTTGATTCTGGTAGCAGGTCCAGTCAAACGTAGGTTTCAGAAATGGACTTGTGCCGGACTTTGATCTCGAGTCTTCGCAAATCGAAATTATGTAAAGCTCACTCGCATACAGAGCGGGGTAGTGAGATCCAATTACAGGTGGTCATTCAAGATGCATTTTAATCCCAAGGGTGAACTGACTGATCATCAAAAGAGACATCTCAGTGCCAGGTCTGAACAGCTCCCAAATTAGCGGAGAGATTAATTGCAGTTATTTCCAGGGAACAATACCGCTCTCAGCCCCCTCCACCACCACAACCAATTTACTGTTCAATGAGGCATTTGACAGTTTTGATGATGCATTGTTAGTAAATTTAAGTTGATTGATTGAGAAATGTAAAAGCATTCACGTTTTTGCAATTATTTAGAAGCACATGGTATGGTACATTAGACATTTAATAGATAGTGTACAATCATTAGAGGTTTTTTTGTTTTTTTATGTTGAGCATGTAAAACCTCCAAGTTAAACCTGAAATGAAAACCTTCAAGTGAATAAATATGATTCATATACACTCATGGTAAAAACAAAGTGCAGCCTCTTTCATTCAAGGTTCTATCAGGCATAATAAAAAGGTAGCTAAATATAATCTGAGGTTAATACAGCCTTAAATGAACAACAACAGACAAAATGACAAAACATGACATATTACACTGTGTACAACCTTACTGCTTCCATAGGAATTAAGAAGGTAATTAGCAGCCAGGTGCTAATAATCAAATGTACTTGATTAAGTGACCATTTGCATGTAAAAGCAGAAGGTTTTGGCCATAATGCACAGCGCCATGAACGCAAGCATACTTAGTGTCGAGCACGGTGGTGGAGGGCTGATGATCTGAGCTTGTTTTGCAGTCACAGGACCTTAGGATCATTGAGTGGACAATGAACTGAATACTAACATATTAGAGTCACATGTGAGGCCATCTGTCTGACAGCTAAAGCTCGTCATCCAGAACAGTGATGCTTTGAATCATGAGGAGCACATAGTTTTTTTACATACTTCTGCATTTTATCTCAGTTTTTGTGAAATAAATAATGTCAGTCTTCATCTGAGGTTGCATTTGCCAAATTTCAATTCGTAGTAAGGACCAAATTATTTTTATCATGTCGTAATACCTAAAACCTTGAAAATTACATTTTACCATGACTCTATGTCATCATACTTTATGTTGTACAGCCACTTCGTTTGGACCCACCTAACAGGCCGAGTCCAATATGGAAGTCGACGTCCCACACACCGTCCTTTGTAGAGTAAGAAGTGATTCGTAGGCTCGTGCTTTCCTTTTCCCTCCAGCCAATCACGATGCTGCTCTGTGGTGCGATGCTGCACGACACAAAGGCCTCAAGTGAGCCCAGGTAACGCACTGCAAGAGGCATAATAGTCAGAAAAGTGAAAGTAAATCAGAAGTGGCATACTGTAGTTAGCTTGACTCCATCCAGAAAAAAGCAAGTAGATAGTATAACATTATATTAACATTTCTGCAGTTTATGTCATTGTAAAATTCTGCTTTAGCATTAGGAGCTGCTTATTTGTCATCGTCTTCCAATCCACAATAACTACAACTGGTTTCATCATAAAGGAAAAGCTGTATGGCTTGTACAAACACAGCAATAGGCTTTTTATCTACAAGCTAATTTCAAGAGAAGAAAATAATCCTAAACAATAGCTGCTGCCTTCCTGTGTAAACAGCAAAAGTTACTGGCAGAGTGACTAAATTAGTTTCAAACTTGACAAATTCAATATAAAAACAACATTGCAACATATTTTGATGATGACACACTGCTCATTTTCTTTCATTTCCTCAAATTATATCCTTCTCCTTGCTGATGCCAAAATGCTCTCACTAGCACGGCTCCAAAGGATATCCATCCACTCTCTGAAACGGTTGCGCTAAATGTGCAATGACCGCAGCCGTATAGTAAACCGACCAATTCTCAGGAGCTCAATATAGCATAGAATTAGGCGGTTATGATTTGCTCACTGGTATTACAGAAAACGTAATGGATCTTGCATCACCATCTATCTCAATTAAGACTTTGATTGAGATCGGCTAAATTGGTTGCCACATGTCTCTATTAGAGGCTGCTTAACTTTCAAAGCCTGCACAAGCTAAGGGATGGTTTTGAGATGGCATGTGACAAGTCGTAGGTCAAACACTGGCTGGAGAGCTTGGGGCAAATAATTATATCTGAATACACTTCACGCATTCCCATCTTTGCTCCGCTCCGTGAATTTAAGAGATTAGTGGATTTTCAGACAGCGCGTTGTGACTCATCATTGATTAATGATCCCTTCTCTTATTCATTGACAAGCACAGCTCATCAAACTAGTTGTGATGCAGACTCAGATACAGAACATCTGCTTCCTTAGCCGTTGCTGCAGCTATTTTCGCACTTTCACTGCTGAGATTGGAAATAACACAGAAACAGCAGGAGTCATTGTGTGTTTATATCAAAGCAAACCTCTCGTGTTGTGCAATAAATCGCTGCACGTTATGGGAGATTTTTATGTTACCTACACGCTCTCTCCATCACTAACACACCCCTTCCTTGCACCTCTCATTCTTTGTCCTTATAGGACTGTTGTCCATCCCAATTTCCTCCTAATTTGCTCTCAATTTCCCCTCACTGATCCACCGCTGTCTCTCTCTCCTTCCTCTCCTCCTCTCTCTGGTGGCCCATGAGCCTGAAGGTTTGGAGGTCTGGATAACCAGGCATGTCTAATGGTACACAGCCCACTCATACTGCAGGGTGGGAAACTTCAAAAGAAAAAGCACCAGCACCCCAGAGGTATGCAAACACACACGCACATGCATTCACGCGGGCTGCCTTTACTTACAGTCAGAAATGACGACACACACGCCCACACACAAACAAGCGTGCTCTTGCCGATTCACGTGCATGTGCACACACAGATTGTAAAATTTTCATTTAACTAAAGCTTTTAATGTTTCGCCATTGTATCCTTTGTTTCCCCATTCTTTGTTATTCCTTTTTCCCCATTTATTGAGCTTATTTATACGTGCTTTATTCTTGTTTTCGCTTTTATCAGGATTCCCCCCCCCCTTTTCAACGAATCCAGCCTCAGAGCGTTGTCTCGGCTGAATCATTATCAAACAGCCCAATAACTCTTCAGAGAGCCTCTGTCCAAATGATGCAATCGAGATAAAACTAAGCGACCTCTTTGTTACCCACGCTGAGCTGCAGTGGGGTGGGGGGGATCTCAGCAAGCCAGACCTCAAGTTCCTGACTTTATATCAACAGTAAAAAGTCTGGCTAGGAAGAGAATGACTCAGGACTCACTGCATGTGTGTCAGCGTGCGTGCATCAGTGACCGGGACACACCCAGGCGTTTTCATTGTGTTGCATAAGCTGTTATTGCAACGACACCGGAGAGGTGACCAAGCAAGCCTGTGGCTCTCATCCCAGGTGTGAAGGGTAAAGTGTGTGTGTCTGTGTTTGCGTGGGTGTGTTAAGTAGGTCTGACACCCAGAATGTGTTGTTTCTATCGGATATACTCCTGATTTCATTCTGACCTGATACTGGAGAGCTTCTTTTTTTTTTTTTTAACCTGAGGCTGAATACAGTTGTGCACAGGAATGACAAACAGAAGCATTTGGGTTCTGATTATCGCTGCTCATGCAGGCTATTTCAGCTGGCTCCTTCTTTTGCATACCATATGAAATAGCAGATGTGCAAACAGAGGAGTTTTCACTGGGACAAGACAGCAAAAGAGAAACTACAGCTGCAAGAAAGACATGAACTTTTACAAGAATGTTAGGTTATAATTAAAGAGAGAGGGGTTTGTTAGTATGCTTATGTCTCTTTGATGGTTTGTGTGTGTGTGTGTGTGTGTGTGTGTGTGTGTGTGTGTGTGTGTGTGTGTGTGTGTACTTTCTACCTTTTCTAACCCAGCCAGGCGCGTGTGCTTGGTGTGTCACGGTGTAACAGGAGCGGTGCTTGCCTTTGGCCAGATCATCCCAAAGGATGATGTCTGCTGAGTCAGAGTCTGTCCTCAGACTGAATCTCTCAAACAGGAAGAGCTGGGCTGAGGTGAAATATAAAGCACTGACCTGGGAATATACACAGACACTCACAGTCGTTGAGCAGTGGACCTGTTCGATTCAGATTTATTTATGTAGCGCCAAATCACAACAACAGGCGCTTACATTCACCTTACATTCTTTAGCTCATAGGGGGTCATTTTGCGACAGTGGGGAGGAAAAATGACTTTTTAACAGGAAGAAGCCTCCAGCAGAACCAGGCTCGCAGAGGATCAGCCATCTGCCGTCAGCGGTTGGGGGTGAGGGGAAAGAGAAAGAGAAGAAAGAGAGCATATGGAGGCAGGACAAAACAGACTAAGGGAGAGACAAGACAAGGATTTAATGACATGCTGCAGTGGTTTATAAATAGGGAGAGAAAAGAGGCAAGTGGAGCATAAGTGCTCATTGCATCACACAAAGTCCCATAGCAGCCTGAACCTATAGTAACATAATGAACACATATGTGGATAATGAGGATAACGCCTTCCTCTCTTGTTCTTTAGTAAACTAGTTCATGCATTTACTACTTCTAGGCTAGACTACTGTAATTCATTATTATCAAGATGTCCTAAAAACTCCCTAAAAAAGCCTTCAGTTGATCTAAAGAGTACTGGCAGGGACTAAAAAGAAAGAAACATATTTCTACCATATTGGCTTCTCTTCATTGGCTCGCTGTTAAATCCAGAATCAAATTTCAAATCCTTCTCGTCACATACAAGGTCTTGAATAATCAGCCCCCATCTTATGTGAAAGGCCTGGTGCCTGAATCACCCCATTAGAGCACTTTTTCTCTCAGACAGCAGGATATGTAAAAGTAGAATGGGAGCCAGAGCCTTCAGCTTTAAGGCCCCTCTTCTGTGGAACCAGATCCCGGTTTGGATTTGGGAGACAGACACCCTTTCTACATTTGAGATTAGGCTTAAAACTTTCATTTTTAATAAAGCATACAGTTAGAGCTGGACCCTGAATCTTCCACTAGCTATGCTGCTATAAGCGGCTGGGGTGTTTCTTTTTCACGCTCCATGTGTTTCTACAACACTCTGCATTTACTCATTAGTTATAAATTTCTCCTCCGTTGCAGCAGATGGGTGCCCCTCCCTGTGCCTGGTTCTGCTGGTGGTTTCTTCCTGTTAAAAGGGTGGGGTTTTTTTGCTTCCCACTGACGCCAAGTTCTTGCTCATATCTTCTGTGGATTATTGTAGGGTCTTTGCCTTACAATATAAAGTAACTTGAAGCGACTGCTTGTGATTTGGTGGCATATAAATAAAACTGAATTAAGTTCTTTTTCTTCTCAATCATTTGCTTTTCTTTGTATGTGTGTATTACCCGTCCTCCAATGTCTCCTATAGTGAGAACAGCCTGGTCAGGGTTACAGGGATCTACCCAGTAGTCTAGACACCAAGGAGTAAAGTTCAAGCCCTAGAGTAGATAAGAATATATGAGATATATTGCCAGTTCTTATGTTATTAATAATGCAATGGAATCAAGCTGATGGTAAAATGAAGATAACACAAAACACTAAAAAAAAAATCTCATTGTTACCTGGAGTTTACACTTGCAGCTGAAGGTCTTTTCACACACGAAGTCATAGAAACACACCTCTTTACTTGTGAAAGCCACAGCTATCTGAGACTAAAGAAAATGGGGTTTGTTAGAAAACACAGAAACATGGAGACATGCAACCTGTCCCTATTATATAACAAGGATTTAGCAGTTTGACAACTGTTAATTAATGCACAATGGGGGAAAAAAAAATCCTCATGTGTTATTCAACGCGGTTATACAATACAGAATATGGCATCCATAAATCTGTAGTTTAAAGAAATGCCAATTAAAACTTACAATCAATTATTGATGGTGTTATTACTAAAAAATGTATGTTTACTTTCTGATCTTTATGCACCAGCTTCGTGTCTGAAACGCAATTAACCAAAGCCACAGATCAATAATTCATTAATTGAGTGGAGTATTTGTTTATCTCTGTGCCATACAATATCTGCTCCATTAAATGAGGCTACTTATCAGTTATTAAATTATAAATCCATTTCTTTGAATAATATTTCTTGAACTACGCTTCAGGAGCCACGGTGCAGCAGTAATCGATGAGAGGACTGATTAATAGTTAGGTATGCATCTCTCAGTATGTTGATAGGTTCACCTTGTCCACGTTTTGCAGCAGCACCACATCTGTGACCCAGAGGTCCTTGGGTGCGACTGTGCTGTTCTGCAGTCGATGAGTGTGCAGAAGGGACATGTCCTCCGCATCCCGCAGTCCTACGTTTCCTCCTTTACTCACAGTGAGATACTGACCTGAACTCTGCAGGTACAGCACCTGAGGAGGCCAGAGGTTATTACAAGCAAAACATTTAAAGAAAATATCCACAGAAAGACTACAATTCACACTTCCCCGTAACACCAGCCTTTAGCTTTATGCCCCAATGAAGTTTGCTACATTAGAGAGTGGCGTTATTTATTAAAACCTGAGGAGACAGCTTTTAAAAACCAATTTAAAATATTAATTATGGCTTGAATTTTCCTCTTCTTGCTAGCTACTTTATAACCGCAGAACTACCCTAATATAAGTTCTCTAAAAATGAGCCCCTACTAAATCTTCCACTCATTGGATACAGGTGAATAAAAGGAGCCGTTCTGTGCTGAATCTAATAAAATTGAGAATTAATCATTACAGGAGTTATTGGGTGAACAAAACTTGGAGCTGCAAAAAATAAATTAATTCATTTTAAAAAGCTTGAAGCTGACTGCATCTAATGAGCAAGAGACAAAGTAGATCTTTGATGAAAGGTAGTTTATTAAAATTTCACCGCAGAGGTAAGAGGTCAGATGTTCTGCAACGTAATTGCTGTCTTCTCCCTTTTCACAGTGTACCTTTGTAAGATCTCCCAGATTCGCATGTCATTTTTCCATAATTATTATAATTACATATTGATATACAGCTGGTGAGTAACTGATACAATGCGTTTATCTGTAGTGCGAGTGAAGGGCTATCATTTTGGGGCTCTTTTAGCAGCTTTTTTGTTGCTTTAAAAGCTGGAAGACAAAAACTGTTATTCAATTTGAAGTATGTACCCAATGAAGTGTCGGTGAACCTGTAACTGCTAAATGGCAACAAAATAACTTTTGTATTTAGCAGTATATGGTATACTTTAGTACTTAAAGTGTTTCAGTGTATGCAATAGATTCCCATTTAGCTTGTAATAGGGAAAAGCAACATTCAGGAAGAAATGGTGGTAGATGAAACAAATAATATAGGACCATGTAAAATGGGCAGGTGCAAATACCTAGGAAACTCTGATGAGGACAAGAATTTCAGAAATAGCATGTTCTATGGGGTGCTGCTGGTTAGCAGCGCTGAGTGGTCAAATGAGGGACAGACTGTCCACAAGGTCTCGGGGATGTGCTTGTATTACTAAAACCTCACAATACTGGCACCAAGGGGTACTTATAGTCTTAGAACCATGCTATAGGCAGGTATCTTTGCTATTAAAGCTGTTGTGTTGCTCTGGCTCATCAGAGTTATGTGAAATATCAAACACCAGAAGTGATTTTGGGAGACAATTACATGACAGAGCAGCTCTAGAAGTGACTTTGAGGAAGAAAAAGATGCAAGATAATGTGTGTTCTAACTGTATGATCCATGTAATACTGCAATGTAATGTAATATAATATGAAAATAATATTACATGTTTACTGAGGCTCTTCCATCACATTATCGTCTCCTCAAAATCACTTCCATTATAGATAGATCGATCGATCGATCGATAGATAGACAGACAGACAGACAGACAGAGATAGCAGAAGCTCACAGATAGAGAGCTTCTGCTGTATTTTATTTAACATTTAATGTTCTTTTGCAGCATTTTTCTATTTGCTTGTGTTTTCTTAAGTTGCACTGCCCAACAGTTTGGTCTACAATTGTAGCAGACATAAAGCAAATATTAATATTTGGTGTTACCATTTAATGAATACAAGTCCAGAATTCACTCCTTTTAGCTCAGTTTTGGTCTTCACCAAGCCCTGAGTGAAATGTGTACAAAAAAATGCAAAAGCTGTAAGCTGTTGGTGGATTTAGTAACCACTTCCTGCTTTGCTACAAATTTGCCAGGGTTATAGATACAGTACATTGTTTCCATATTCTCTATTTGATACTTAACTAGTGGAGTAATGGTCAGAAATGAAAGCTATCTAAGCAACAATACTCTGCCTCTTTAAGGCTGTCAAACCTTCCAGGCACTTGGAAAACAACTGACACAACAGTCTGACATTTCGACATCCTCGGGATTGAAAGATTAAAGTGATGAGCCGTCACTTTATCCAAAGCGGTGGGGACTTCACACCGGCTGCTTCATTTACATATTAATTGATAGATGTTAAAGGAGTCCAGAGCCATTTATCTCCAAAGGAGTCAGCCATTTTGATGAGCAAGACCCTAATACTTTTTGAACGTTTCCTTCCACAATGTTTAATAATGTGCAATTCCATCCAGTCAGCAGAGTTTTGGATTCCCTAGACTGCCAATGTCAAAATGTTTTCAGATAACATGCAGAGGGTCATTGGTTTGGGGGGGAAAGAAAAGGGGGAAAAGGCAACATGCTATGACTCTCATAACAAACTTTTCTTCGTGTAAGTCTCTACTAGGTTAAAGGACCTTTTACCTTTTGAACAGGGTCTCGATGTGGACAGGTGAGGGTGCGTGGTGGCTTCCAGCAAGGCGCGCTAACAGTTTTGCTGTTCTTTAATTTATTGGAAAGCTCCATCAGCAGAAATGAGCACAGGCCTCCCCAGTCAATGCACTCTTTCTCCTTTGAGGTGTCGCTGTCCAGGAGGAGGCCACTGCGCTGCTGACTGAGAACCACGCTGTCAAACAAGAAGCCATATTCCTCCTCGGACCCGTGGCCAACTGATGACCAGGCAAGATCGATGAACTGAATTCGGGACAAGGAGCGGGATGCACCTGAGAAGTCCTGCATTCAACAGCAACAGGATTGTGAGATATTGCACAATCTTGGCACACAGCTGAATACAGCCAACTAGGGCACTCCCAGCATCAGCAAAGTTGGTCAATCATGAGTGTGGACTATGTAAAAGATGGAAATAGCTTCAGGCTATTTAAAGCCTCCCTTTTTTGCCTCCAAAGTACCCCCACTTTAAAGAAGTCCATGAGCACTTTAACCTCAGTAAACAATGTCTCCAATCTCTTTGAAACTGTTAGCTAAAACTAGTGCATCTCTTAGCTATTATAGTAAGGTATAAGACTAATACCTAAGGTTAGTTCCAAGTCTCAGTTATTGAAGCAAAGTATAAGACTGACAGCTAAGACTAGTTTCAAGTTTGAGCTATTGTAGTATGGTGTAAGGCTAATAGCTAAGATTAGCTTCAAGTCGTAGCGGTTGTAGCAAGGTGGTCATTTTGTAACATATGTACCCCATTTAGAATGGAACACACAATAAATCAAGGTGTGTTTAAGACTGTGGCTACACTGTGACAGGAAATTGGTGCAGTTCAGGGCATCACAAATAAGCGACTTACTTCTAGGTGGCTACCTCCATCTTTTATACATCAGTTATGAGAAGAACCCAAAAATTAGGGCAGTACTTGAACAAATTAACTTGACAAGCTGTAGCTACATACTCCAGTAAACTAAAAGTAAGTAGAACATACTCAAACCCTATGATTTCTTAGTAAATCCCTGAAGATTCCCTTGTTTGTATAGCACTTCTTATCAGATCTAAAGGTATGGTTCTATACTGTCAAAATTGGAGATAAATAATTTAACCCTGTTCTTTAAATGTGAAATAAAGGTGCTGTAATACAAGGCTGTCAATAGACTGACTTGAAATCAAAGACTCACAAGGAAAAGGTTCTGTAACTTTCTATAATCCTCAGCGTTCATTCTGCTTTCAAGCTGTGCCACCTCCATTCTCGTTCCCATGGTTACAGCTCAGACCTGTCAATCAATCAGCAATAAACCAGGTGAGGTCAAGGAGGTAAAATGCGTGTCTGTATGCAGGTTGGTGTGGAATAGGGAATACACACACACACACACACACACACACACACACACACACACACACACACACACACACACACACACACACACACACACCACTGAATAAAATAGATTTCCCAACGTCTATGTGTTACATGACAAAACAAGATGCACTCAGAATAATCCCTCAATAACCTGCCATATCTATTTCACATGGGTCGTCATGCCACCGTGATCATACAGCAAGGTCACAGCAGCAGCTTATTGTTGCCTCTTTTCACTGTTGGATAGCATGCAAAGCTTTACACTATTTTCCGAACTGCAAGACTTTAGGAAGTAGTCAAACAAGCCCCCCCCCAAAAGAAAATTTCTCAGAAAGGCAGCGGGTTGCCAAAGCATGTCGAGTCTGTCATATCTGTTAGTGTGAAATAAAATACAGTCAGATAGATGGAGAGAATAAAAGTGTGAATAAAAGGGAATGATTTCTGAAATTGCTCTGTGCTGAAATTAAAAGCACATTTGAAGTCAAAGGGAGAAAGTTTCTTTTTAACTCCAACTCTCCTACAAAACACTCCAAGGGGCAGCGGGGCGGCAAACACTGTTTCATTTTTAGCATGGCATAAACGTTTATGAGACAAATTCACTGGATGTGGCATCAAACTGAACAGATATTTAGATGACAGGCTGTGTAATGAAAGCAAAGGGAAAATAAATAAATAAATCAATGCTTTGCTGCAGCTATTATCTTTTTTTTATAACAGTGATGAACTGCAGTGTGATCTTGACATGATAGTTAAACCAGACAACAGGTTCGCAGTAGACTGCAAGATGACTTTAGACTACTGTAATATTTAAAAGAACACCGATACTCATGGGACAATTTCTTCACATCTTGTTTGTGAGCGTGATAACTTCTAATCAACCACATCCTGACTTGTTTTGTGGCACGCCGCTGGCTTCAGTCTGCATGCGACTGCACAGACGCAACTCTATAAAGAAAAATGAACACAGAAAGCTTGATGTGCCGTCCAAATTGCTGCTGCTTGAAAGGTAAGAGGCATTTCTTATGAATGCATCCACCTCTGGGAAAGACTCCTTTTGCAATCTTTTAGCAAACACACTTATCAGGGTTGCCTCTCCTCTTCCTGGATGGTCACTTTTGCTCCAGTTAGTCCTCTCAAAACTGTCACTGTAGTACTTCTGAGTTTTTAAAAGAACATGCAGTTAACTTGTCCGTCAACAAAGCATCTCAGCTCCTAACTGTGTAATGGCAGACCTGGCCTTCCAGTATACACATACCTCAAGTCAAGCATGTTTTCTTTTCAATCACAAAGTTCAAACAGTGAAACCAAACACAACTTTACACTTGATAACAAATTCAAACTTACCATTCAATTTCACCTCTCATTCTGTCATGGGTGTCTGTAGTATGTTGTCCCAAGAGTCCAGCTCTGAGGTGTTGGAAACACCACTTTCAAATGTGTGACATTTCAAACAAATCCTCACCTTCTGGCTATTCCGTCTTAGCAATGGCTGCCTCTCGTCTACAGGAGACTCGGCCGATTTGTGGCTGAAGTTTGTGTCCAGAGGTTATTCTAAGCTGGCAACGTGTAAGAAGCAATCAACGCCAACAGCCCTGACTGCAGGCACACACACCCACAGAGAGTTAACGAACTGCCCCCCAGTAGCCCAGACAGTGGCAGAGGCCACACACACACACAACAAATCTTTTATTATCCTTCACTCTTAAAGACTCGGGCTAAGTTTCCTGGCAACCGAGTAGTCAAAAAGAGTTGTGAGAGTTTGTGAGTCCAGGCCTATTGTCAGTATGCGTGCGCGTGTATCCTTTCTATTCTCAGATTAGGCACAGGAGCGAACATAATGTGTGTGAGAGTGAGGTGCAACAACGCCACATACAACAACACGATTCACACAAAGATTCCACGGCGACTGATAATAAAAGAAAAATACTGACGTGAACCTGAACAAAGATAAAATACACACAAAACAGCTTTACAGCATCATTCAAATGCCTGTTAGAGGGCATCCTGCAGGTCAATTGTTGCTATGC